AAGTCTTTGGTAGCAAGAAAATTGCTTGAGGTTTTTCGGTACCAAGAAACTAGATAAGTTAACAATGATTTGTCTATATAATATCAATTTAGTTTACAATCAGTTTTTTTATTGAGAATTACTCTCATTTCGCTCAACAAATATGTAGAAAGAAGTGGAGATGGATTGGGCATACACTGAGAAAACCGACTGGGGATATCACGCATCACGCCGTAGAGTGGAACCCCGATGGGAAGCAACGAGTTGGGCGTCCGAGGGTGACATGGAAGAGATCATGCGAGGAGGAAATGAGAGCTTCTGGGCTGTCGTGGAGCCAGGTTGAAAAGATTTCAGAGAACAAAGCTCATTAGAGACGTGCTACTGAAGCCGTATGTTCCATTAAGAACCCAAGGGACAAATAATAAATAACAGTACTCTCACTTCGGTTACAGTTTGTTCTGAAATATATTTTATCATATAGTCTTACTATTATCCACCTTGAATTCTGATTAATCTTCATGGATAGATTCCACTTCATTGACGTATTCTTCTTTATTCATAATAACTATTCAAAATCCTTTGTTAGGCGGAAGATTTTTCATCTTTGTTTGGTCTTTCTTAAAGCGACAGTCAGTCTGTAGCACCTTAAAATCTGTACGTCGTTTCCTCACCCTCCTTAAGAGGAATTTTACAACTTGGAGATTTGTAGGAATTTATTGATTTCAAGCTTGTATTTATCATGAACTGACATCAGTTACTTAACTATTGAAAACCTGGCAGCACTGACCACCTCCTTCACCTATGACTCCTTCAAGGTGTGCACTATTAAGAGACCAATGCAGGGACAAAACAGATGTTCAGAGCTTTGAAGTTTTCCTTGATTCTCCAACTGATGTCAATCTATGATGAATGAAAACTTGACAAAGTCCACTGTTGCCTATTGTTATTGCAGAGCTCTTGATATAGTTACATAATCATCATTTATTTAGTCAACGTTTACCTCATTTATTTCAGAATATCATATAAATACGTATCCCCGTTGGTACACCATTGAGTCGGAAACTGAATGGTTGCTGGTATGAATCCTACTACAGCCTGGATTTTCATTACATCTTCAATCATCACCAGGTATCATTACTTGTCTCCCATACCACAGCTATCTCAGATGACACAAATATATTTCAGTAGACTGAATTCATTTTACGTATAAAACCTTTGTTATTTTCTACCTCAGTCAGGATATTTAGCGATCGAACACAAAAAAGTACCAAAAAATTATGTTTTGAGGGAGTTGTGGAGATTTAGAAATATTTCAAGTTGTTATTCATCGAAGACTGACATCAGTTGGAGGAACAAAGGAAACCTGGAAGCACTGGACAGCTGTTTCGTCCAACTGATGTCAGTCTTCAATGAATAACAACTTGAAATATTTCCAAATCTCCACAACTCCCTCGAAATTTAATTGAACTGGTGCTCATTGGTGACTAGCTTCGAGAAGAATTCCCGAAGTTCCAATGACAAGTCATGACCGGTGGAGTCAAAGCCTGATGGCTGTGAGGACAAATACTCAACGATGACATTGGGTGGCAGTTTGCGCTATATCGTGAGCTAACAGAAGTTGGAAATATGGAGCATTGGATTCTGACCCAGTGGCTAGCTCAATGGTAACACGCTGGCCGCGGAACCTGAAGGTCGCGGGTTCGATCCTTGCTGGTGGGTTGGTGGGTGCGCACTGCTGAGGAGTCCCATACTAGGATGAAACAGCTGTCCAGTGCTCCCAGGTTTCCTTTGTTCCTCCAACTGATGTCAGTCTTCGATGAATAAAGAAGAAAGAAGTCAATTCAAAAAGAGATTCCCCGCTTCAATGATATCATTCACTAAAGCTGTATAATTATATTATCAGTATTAGAAATAAATAAAAATCTATCACTGATCAATAGAATTATATGATCAAGAGTAAAATGAAAGTTATCTTTTAAAAGAGAGATTGAACATGCTTCTTCTGCCTATATTGTTCTAGCTTTTATTGACAAAGCCACTAGATTGTATAAAATTTGAAATCGAGTTCATTTTCAATCGCTTTTGTTTAACTTTGTAGACAATCGTGAAGGATACTTCTAGAAGAGTTCAGTGGCTGAAACTTAGCAGATGTTGAAGTATCGAACTGTTGAGTGATTTTACCTACCTCTTGACATAACTAAGCAGAAGAATGCTCTACGAAAGCAACCGAATTTTTAAATACACATTACAGTGGTATTTGTTGCTGAAGCATTTAGGCATCTCAGATGTGCTCATGAGAAAATAATCTGAAGCTTAGAAGCAAAAAAATGTCTCTTCTAAAGTTTTCAGAAGTCGATTCCTCGGAATTTCTGCTACCTTATCATATTTGAAGTCTAAACTCAGGAAAAAGAATTTCATCTGAATTGTTACTATTCATTCAATATTTCTTATCACCTTCAATGTTTTCTTGGTAAATTTAAATGAGTAACCATTTTAGAACCAGACGTTGCGTTCTAGAAAAACAGTAGCAAACCTGTTAATCTAGATGAAATCACTTCAAAAAATATTTCTGGTAATAGTACACTGCCAAAAAGTAAGCCGAAGTTTAGAGAAATTATCCGCTACCAAAAACATTGACGTCCTGTATTGAATTGAAGTAGTAAAACGAATACTGTAGTGCATTCGAAATCTTAACCATTCACTATCCAGTTTCGATTTCCAGACTGCCTCACCTCTTCATTGTCAAGCTGTACCATTTGTCAGTTATCTTTTATTATTCAGAGTAAGCGAATCCTGATTACTTGCTGAGTCGTCAGCTAACCTTTTTCTCTTTCCCCTTCCAGATTCTCGTGGCCACCACTAAACTCACTTTGCTCTACGCGTCCCTTGAAACAACGTACCAACGTTCCTACCTACCTACAGGCTAGATGAGAACGTTTCAACAGCTGGTCGTTACAGTACAACGCATTGAGTCTCACAAGGTAGTTAAAAAATGTTGGGAGGATTTTAATGAGTCACTTAGCAATGCCATGGCATGGCGAGCTATTCATGTCCAAATAAGATGGAGTATTAGTTCGATTTCACAATCTATACATTCCAGAGGCTTTATCGACTCATGATACAAGCTTAAACTATGTATGCAGAGTAAGCATGTTCGATCTCGCCTTTTACTGTGGTCCTAACAATGTGTCGTTACGTAATTCCCCCCTGTCTTTATCAAGAAACTTTGTCATGGAGATTAAGCAATTCTCTTGACAGTTAATAGACTACTGCCTGTTCCATATGCCCATAAATACGATTGTATAGTTATAGCAAATGAAATCGTTGAAGTGAAAAGTTGTCTTTTTGAGTTATCCCCTTTCTTCTTTATGGCTCAAAGGAGCTTTCCCACTGTTTAAAACTACCTATACGTTTTGTTATTATCTACTAATTGTCCATTTTTTCATTTCGGTCTTATATGGCTCACAGCAGTTACTTGATCATTATTCCTTCTTAAGTTGAGAATGATTTTTTTAGCGCCTACATGTAGACCGATGCCTCGAAATTTGTCTGCCTATCTTTTCATCGTCTAACAATATGGAGTGAACAAGGTTGGGGGGGCGTTGACCATTTTATTTCCTCTGGAAAGCGGATTAGCCTTTGTAGATACATTACTGACTAAATCTCACCAAACTATGCAATCTGTGCTATCCGTGAAATATCCGATTTCACGTTAAAGTTGAGTACGCTTAGCACCAATTCTAGCTACTACATGGTTGTGAAACATGATGATCAAAGTTGATGGACATGATAGGCTTCATGTGTTTCCCCAACTTTGCTTTGTATCACTGGTCGTGTCTCGTTAAGTGACCATGTTTGTAATGTATGGTTTTGGTGTAGAGTCTTCAGGTAAAGAGAAGTCAGTTGGTGAATCTTCATTGGCTCATGTACCTGGGACTTACGTTACACAGACCTAATCGCTATCTACCCCAACGGATGATACCACCTAAATTAGGCTTAGGCTGAAAAGGTATAAACGTGGCCAAACTAAGACGTGACATCAATCCATGGAGTCTTAAACTGTTAATCTCTGCCGAGTGCAAAAGTTTAGGCTTCGCTGTTGAAGTTCACTAGAAAATCAAAATCATCCGTTGAAAACTGGGAGTAATATGACTTAAAATCAACCACCGGAAGTCATATTTAGCTTTACTTCATCTAAACCTCAAAATGAAATTCAATTTAGTTATTGTGTTATCCACTTTTCTTTTCTTCTTACAAATTTCAACAGATTTTCACTATGTCATTGTATTCCCCTAATTTTCATCTTGCTTACTTCTTGGTGTGTGGCATAACAGATTGAACCATCACATTGTAATCCCCTAAGCTTTATGTCAATATATGCTGTTTAAATATTAATCTGTCATTAAACCATAGAAATTACTTCCACAAATCAACATAGTTCATACATCCCACTGTGACCGTTCCTAACCATCCTTCCACTTATGAGAATTCCCTTGGTTATGGCTAGCAGAAGAATCCAGAATGCGCATTTCGTCCTACTTGGGACTCACCAGCTGGATGACACTGCACCCCAGTGAGTGATGCTGTCCCCACTGAGGATCGAACCTCGTACCCATTGCTCCAAATGCCAAAGCGTTGTCTTCTATTCCATGGAGGCACAACAGGCACTTCTTGTACAATGATTATTAGTTACTACTACTTACTGACATACTTGTTCTTCTCCGTTGTTTTATTGCTTTGAATTATTCGACCTCTACTGGCATATGGGCTCCTATGCGGATGCCCCGATATTGCTTGACTATTAGTTATGATAATTTGCTAGCCACAACAATTCGATCCAATAAAACAACGGAGAATAACAAGTATATCAATAAAAGGTAACATTCTCCCATTTATTTATGACTAGTATGAGAGGTTGAAATGATAAGAGAATATGTACACTTTAGAAACTATAAGGAATTTGTAAAAAATGCTTCATTTTTAAGAGAAACACTTAGAAATATTGATTTATTCATTGAATCAAACTTTTATTCATTTTTCCAATACAATTTATTTTTATGATAACCTTGATGCAATACTGAATTCTAGTAGTTAGTAATATGTATATTAATTTGTTTAAAAATTGGATTTAAGAGGTGTATCATATTAATAAAGAATGTTTGAATCACAGTATATTAAAAGAAATAACTTTTGAAGATTTTTTTTTGTATAATTATACAAAATGGTCATCTATAAAATCTAAGATCAGGTATTCTAGCCATAGTTACAGTTTGTTTTGTTTTAGTAAGTTATACAAGTTACCACAGTGAAGTAATCTGTTTCAATGTCCAACATAAAGTTATTCATTGAACAATTGTAACATTTTCTGAGAGCGATATGTATCTCAAATGTTTTTTTGTTTACAAATGTGTAAGAAAATCATGAAGTAATCTTTCAAACATTTCAGTCACCTAAATAAACGAATATCAGTATACATACATAAAATCTACAGACATATCCTTCCAACTGACAGAAAACAATGAATTTTCAAGTTGAATTATGAAACATCAAGTAAAACTGACAAACACTGAAATATACTATAGAGAAATAAAATATTTTTACCACAAAAATGTTATCACAAAAATGTTCAATGTTCAATTAAATTATCATCACAGGGTTGTACATTTGTTTAATTGATAATAGAAGAAGTAAAATGAAAGTAATAAAATGAGAGGGAAAAACGATTTTAGAAATCTTAGTCGAAAATCTTTTTCTCTTCTAAAATAAAAACTCTTCACGTTAAAATAAGAATGACGGAGATTATTGAAAACATATCATACATTGAAACAAAAACATGATGGTAAAGGTAATCATAATGCTAATAATAATAATAATACTTACATTAAAAGAAATATAAAGGAATAACACACGAATACATACATACACACACAACATCACAAAGTAATACAAGGTGAAAAAATATATCTAGAAAATATACAAACAAATTAACCAATTTACAAAGTATTCGTTACCATAACAACACTATGATACTTTGCCTCAAAAGTCTACCTACATTCAAGCATGTGTATGTATCGCACAATTGAAACGATTAATGTGATGTATTCAAGAAATGAAATAACAATAACCAGAATAACTGTATATATGAATGACCCTGACTAGACATAATAGTTGGACACATTGAATACAATTTGTATCACATGCATTGTATAGAAACGAATGTTGAGTTCGTATCAAGAAACTGAGATGAAGAAAAAGAATATTCGCCGTTTAATAATTTGTAATATGTAATTCAGGTTTGTTGACATATTTTGTTATGGGAAATAGAATTGACACTATATTGTCTGTTGTTTGAATATATTATTTGTGTCCACTGTAAACATGAGGATGCAGTTAGTTACCTTGGTTACCTCTGATGATATGTAAATGGTACAAATTGTGAAAAAAAAATTGTCTGTAAACAATTATATTGTCTTATATCTGATACCACTTAAAACCTAAATTCCAAATGTTAGTATAACTATGTGAAAGAGTGAAATATGATATGTATAGACTCGAAGTAGGTAGTGAATAAGGAAACATGTTCAGAAGATTTGATCTCCTCTTTTCTTGTCTCTCTATCTCCCTCTTTCATCTATCTCTATGTATCTTTGACTGACACGGAAAATGAAGATAAACATTACTGTCTACTGAATGAGAAGTATTTAAGTAGTATAGAAGATGAAAAATAACAAACTGAAGATGCAGAGGATGACGTAAACATATATTAGAAATGCAAGACACGTGGAACACTATTCTTTTTTGATATGTGCATATATTAATGGAAGGGCACTTGATATGTTGTTAAGATTCAATTCAAAACTTATGTGTTTACATAAGAGAACCAAGTTAATAAGACTTTTCAGAATGATTTGCTGAATACTATGAGACATATATGTTTCGTTTCGATTTCGTCTGAGTCTTTGGAGTATTAGCTTAATTCGATTGATGAATTTGAAACGATGGTTGGAACAGTGTAGTTATACAAGATGTAAGTGACTTAGACGAAATCGAAACGAAACATAAATGTCTCATAGCATTCAGCAAGTGATTCTGAATAGTCTCATAGACTCAATTCTCTTATGCCAAATACAAAAGTTTTGAATTGAATCTAAACAACTTATCAAGTACCCATAAAAATAGTGTTTCACGTGTCTTGTGTTTCTTATCTATGTTGACACCTTCCCCTGCATCTTCAGTTTGTTATTTTTCATCTTCCATACTACTTAAATACTTTTCATTCAGTAGACAGTAATGTTTATCTTCATTTTCCGTGTCAGTCAAAGATACAAAGAGATAGAATGAAAGAGGGAGACAGAGAGACAGGAAAAGAGGAGATCAAATCTTCTGAACATGTTTCCTTATTCACTACCTACTTCGAGTCTATACATATCATATTTCACTCTTTCAGTCGTTATGTTGATAACAATTTACCTTCACTTAGTTATACTAACATTTGGAATTTAGGTTTTAAGTGGTATCAAATATTTTATGTAAAATTTTACAAATTTATATAAGACAATACAATTGTTTACAGACAATTTCTTTTTTCACAATTTGTACCATTTACATATCATCAGAGGTAACCAAGGTAACTAACTGCATCCTCATGTTTACAGTGGACACAAATAATATATTCAAACAACAGACAATATAGTGTCAATTCTATTTCCCATAACAAAATATGTCAACAAACCTGAATTACATATTACAAATTATTAAACGGCGAATATTCTTTTTCTTCATCTCAGTTTCTTGATAGGAACTCAACATTCGTTTCTATACGATGCATGTGATACAAATTGTATTCAATGTGTCCAACTATTATGTCTAGTCAGGGTCATTCATATATACAGTTATTCTGGTTATTGTTATTTCATTTCTTGAATACATCACATTAATCGTTTCAATTGTGCGATACATACACATGCTTGAATGTAGGTAGACTTTCGAAGCAAAGTATCATAGTGTTGTTATGGTAACGAATACTTTGTACATTGGTTAATTTGTTTGTATATTTTCTTGATATATTTTTTCACTTTGTATTACTTTATGATGTTGTGTGTGTGTGTATGTATTTGTGTGTTATTCCTTTATAATATTTCTTTTAATGTAAGTCTTATTATTATTATGATTATCGTTTTTCAGTTAAATTCGTTGGAGTTAATAATGTTTTAGTTGTCTTTAGTGGGAAATAACTGTGCTTATTTTGTTTTTGGCCAACATCTTCAAGTCGACTATTGTTCAATTTTTCACCTGAGTGAAGATTTACACCTTCAGCATCTTTTCGATGTTGTTTTTGCTGAATTGGTTGTGAACTGGTTGACCTAATCGAGGTTAACACTGAATCTTTTCCACTGAGTTGTTTAGCCTTGTTGTTGTTATGTTTTATTGAAGTTTTACCAGTTTCTTGATGAAGTGAAACTTCTGAATAAGGCTTCGTTAAACGCTATAATCGAGAAAGAGAATTATTCAACATTTTTTTTACTGTTAAGCAGTAAATGATTTAAGTTTACAAAAGTTAGACTAAGCTTACAGCGAAGAAGTGCACGCAACTAGTAAGCATTTTGAGTAATTCACTTAAAAACGCTAATAACTTTTTGCCCATTTTTATAATCTTCAGATGCGTCTATTCAAGCTGTAGTCAAGGATGTTAACGTCTAGTTGACTGGGCAAACAATGAAAAAAGAACGAAAAAATTTCAAAACCTCTTGCTATTTATGAAAAGAATCCTGTATTTTACTTTCAGGATTATTTTTTCAATGAAACCGAAAAATTGTATAATAATCTGTTGCTTGCCAATTAACTTGCATCAAGGTAGAATTTTCCAAGTCTTAGGAAAGAAGCCTTGACCTATCATGTAATCAAGGTTGGATATCAGCATTAATACTCCCCGATAGTATAAGATGCTGTTAACACCTCATCAAGAATTGAGAGAATTTGTGAAACATCTGTCATTCAACTCCAACTTCGTACCTAAGTGGTAAAGGGTTCGCCACGAGGCCTAAAGATTCCGGACTATATCCGGCATAAAGTAATGAGTATCTGCTTCTGAAGAGTTCAGAAGTATGCGACCGAGCCTCCAAGACTTTTAGGTGTCTTGTAAATGATACTGATCCGTAATAAAGGCTTCCTGTGAATTATCTGTTTCCTAGTCCTTGGTTTAAAAACCCAATTCCGAACTGTTTTCACCACCTCAGACTTGGCATAATTTTTATTATAAATGAGAATAACTTGCTAATTCTTATGATATGCTACTTTTTACTTTCCAGTTTACTATTCAATATCATTTGCCCCTAAATGATGTTAACCTTTGACCCCTGCTTACAATGGCCATAATATCCAATTTATATCTTGGAATGAGGAAAAATTTTAAAAAGCGCGCAACCTAGATCCAGGGCTTCCTGGCGATTGCCTCCAACCAACTCACATCTACTAGTGTGCACCGCGATGCTGAACTTCCCAGCTTGCAAATATGATACATAGGATTGTGTCTGCACTCAAGACTAGACAATATGAAATTGGTTGCACTCCCATAACCAATCAATACAAAATTTCAACTCATTTTTAACATCAGTAACTGATTCAGTGTGTCTTTGTACCATCTCACATGCATAATTAAATCAAAATACGAGGAGTGTTGAGATAAGGAGAAACGAACTACGCAAAATAGGTAAGTTAACCGATGAACTTTTTTATCTTTTACTAACTGAAATGACTTGAAGATGTGCTGCGCACGATAAGACATCATGCACCTTAACGTATAATGCTACAAAATATTTGATTAATTTGAATGAAGGTTTACAAGAGTCAGGTGAAGAACCCGCACCACTCCATCAAGTCTATAAATGTTAGTGTAAATCTTACCACTTATAGCTTACAAATTGCAGAACTAAACAGATGAAATGACGATATATTCTAAACTTTGACTTTAGGAATAATTGATGAGGCAGTATTCATTAAGGAATGATGCAACCTGGAGAACTATTGAAAACCTAAGAGTATTTAACAGCTGTTTCATCCTAGTATAGGATTCTTCAACAGTATTATCTATATTACAAAAGGTTTAATAATTGGCAATTTTTTTCAATAAACAAAATTGTTATTCATCGAAGACTGACATCAGTTGGAGGAACAAAGGAAACCTGGGAGCACTGGACAGCTGTTTCGTCCCATTTGTATGGGACTCCTCAGCAGTGCACACTCACGACCCCACCAGCAGGGACCAAACCCGCGACCTTCAGGTTCCGTGACCAGCGCGTTACCATTGAGCTAGCCACTGGGTCACAATCCAATGCTCCATATTTCCAACTTCTGTTAGCTCACGATATAGCGCAAACCACCACCCAATATCATCGTTGAGTATTTGTCCTCACGGCCATCAGGCTTTGACTCCACCGGTCATGACTTGTCATTGGAACTTCGGGAATACTTCTCGAAGCTACTCACCAACGATGAATAACAACTTGAAATATTTCTAAATCTCCACAACTCCCTCAAAATTTAATTGAACTACTGCTCATTGGTGACTAGCTTCGAGAAGAATTCTCGAAGTTCCAATGACAAGTCATGACCGGTGGAGTCAAAGCCTGATGGTCGTGAGGACAAATACTCAACGATGATATTGGGTGGTGGTTTGCGCTATATCGTGAGCTAACAGAAGTTGGAAATATGGAGCATTGGATTGTGACCCAGTGGCTAGCTCAATGGTAACGCGAGGGTCGCGGAACCTGAAGGTCGCGGGTTCGATCCTTGCTGGTGGGTTGGTGGGTGCGCACTGCTGAGGAGTCCCATACTAGGATGAAACAGCTGTCCAGTGCTCCCAGGTTTCCTTTGTTCCTCCAACTGATGTCAGTCTTCAATGAATAACAACTTGAAATATTTCCAAATCTCCACAACCCCCTCAAAATAAACAAAATATTAGACAATAAATCAAGGTTAAAAGTATAATCAATAAATGATTAGTTATACCTGACTTCTTAATAACTGATTTATTGTTGAACCATTAATGCATGAATTTTTAATATCTTGCTGAGAATTAAATGATCTATCATAATTTATAATACATGATAATGTTTCATTAGTATTATTCTTTAATTTTTCATTTAATGTTTTAGCTGATAAACTATTTCGTTTTATTCTGTTTTTATTCTCTTTAAAATTGGTACAACTATTACTACTGCTTATATTATTATTATTATTAGTAGTAGTAGTAGTAGTAGTAGTATCGTTATTGCCATCAGTATTGCTGGTAATATTTAAACTCCAATGATTTTGATGTATACTTCTACCATTCTCAAGTACAGAACGTGCTGTTGGACCAAGTAATCGTGTTGAATTTATACTTTTCTGTTGTTGTTGTTGTTGTTGTTGTGTATGTTTTTGTTTATTATCTATTAATTTTTGTCGATAATTTTCAATATTAGATCCAGATAGAAAATTATTTTGATATAATGATTTAGTTATTTTCACTTGTTTCTCATCATTATTTTGAATAATATCTAATGATTTTAAATGAATATTTTGTGATGATTCAATTACTTTTTCTGTATAATAATTATTATTATTATTTAAATAAAGTGTACGTTTTTTTCTTGGAATAGGATAATTTTTATCAGATTGATAATTGATACTTGTTGTCTGATATTTATTCTCAATATTTTCATTTATACTTTGATATTGTTCTGTAGATTGATTAATTTTTACTAATGAATTTGATATATTAGATGTAAGAGATTGTCTAGTACGATTAAGACGTAATGTACTTAAACTAATATGATCTTTTCGTGGTACTGTTAAAAATTTATGATATTGTTCATTATCATTTGTATTAATATGTCCTAATGAAAAATGTATATGATAAGGTGATGATTGATCTAATAAAGAATATTTATTTAAATGATTAATTGATTTATCAGTAATACTATTCATTCGTAAATCAATATTTGATGAAGTGATTTCATTAAATTGATTATCATTAAACCTATTTAATTGTTTATTATTCAATTCTTGATTAATCCATTCTTGTTTATCAATAGATGGTGATATTTTTGACCTAATATAATCTATAGATTTTTGTATAGTTCTATTATTATGTTTATATATATCATTATCATCAGTTTGATGACGTGTTAATAAATTCTGAATAATAGCATGTATATTAGCTCGAGGATTTGTTGTACAATTATTAGATTGTATAACAGATGATGAAGTTATTCCATTCAATGAAGAAATATAAAGACTTTGTCCATCTAAATCATATTTATTGTCTTGTAGATTTTGATTCATTTCTTTTATATTGATATTTGTTTGTGAATGGTTCAAGTTTTTCAAATATCCTTCAGTTATCTTATTTGACATTGAATCATGTTCAGTAGAGTTATTTTGAATTGGCTTTGCATCTATTATTAAAGGAACCGTAAGAAATCATAATTATTCGTATAGAAAATATGAATATTCTATTTGCTTAATTAATGAGCTTAATACAGGTCACTTTGTATGAGAGTAGAGTAATTAATGAATGATGAGAGGAACGAGATATCGATTTCTTCCGCCTATTTTGTCTCAAAAATAGGATGAAATTATCATCAAAGACTTGATAGTAATTCGTACTTTTCTTAAACTATTCTAACAACAAATACAAGTAGACATTTAGTTTGTTACATTTCCCTATTCTCTTCAGTTGAGGCTTTCTATCGTTTCATAGTAATGATGAATAGTAGCTTGCAGTGGAAACTAGGATGAATATTTCGTCTTATTTACAACTCACTCGTCACTGATGCTATTCTCACTAAGACTTGAACACGGGATCGATCACTTCCAACCGCAGAGAGCTACTCACTAGGCAGTAGGATCATAATACCCATTCCTCGTGCGGCCGGTATAGTTTTTATTCTTGTTACTTATATTATCCTGTCGTTGATTGGACCAAA